CCTCCCGTTGTTGGCCAACTGTTGTTGTTGCTGCTGTTGTTGCTGCTGTTGTTGTTGTTGTTGCTGTTATGCCAATTTGTTAGTCTCCGTTTGTGTTCACACCATTAAGCCAGGCTGGCGACTATTTGGTTTGTTCCTCGACTGCATAAGGATCTATGATTAATGAATCTCAACTATTGCAGCCTTAATGCTGTCAATTTATCACAAAACACCTCAAACAACTGATTACACCCCGTGTGCGTGGATGTGTGTGCGTGTGTGTATATCGCGTGAGTAATCAGCACAATATGTTTAATCGAAATCGAGTCGATTGCCGGCTGCTGATGATGATGATCCTGCCCCAGCTCAGTGCAATGCCAATGCCAGACTGCGGCCGAGTTGGGCAACTGTTATGTCAGTAAGACTGCAACATGTTGTTGCTGTTGCTCCAGCCACTCAAACTCAAGCCCAAACCTGTTGTTGCATGCAACCCAGCAAGCCAATAAATACGCTTATCGCATGCGACAAACTCAAAGCGAGAGTCCAAGCGATTGTTTCAATGGGGTAAATAGCAACAACCCTCAGCCAAAGAGAGGCAAACAGTTACAATGTGGAATTAGGGTGACCAGGTAACGTTTTAAAGTGCTAACGGCTTAAAGCTTTTGAAAGTGACCAGTATAATTGACTATAAGGGTCATTTCAATAGAAATGCTCTAAGTCTTTTCAGAGTTAGAAGCACAATTAATTAGAAAGCAACTTTTAATTGAGATGTTTTTAATAAAATGCTGCTGCGACAATGCTAATGCATTTTTGATCTCATAAGCATTGTGTATTTTTGACTTAAAGAATGAGCTGAGACAGACAAATCTTGATGGATTTATATATAAACATTGATTAGCTTAAATATTTATATCTCTCTATTTTTATGTATAATGTCTGCTTTGGCTCATCGCATATTCTAAACATGTTGCTTATCTTTAATCTTGACTTACTTGCAAACGAAACCTGTTAATCTGTTTGCCACATCAATTTGCGTAAGCAAAAATTTCCAAAAGGTAAACCCCAAGCAGTTATTGCCTAATAAATCGCTAAAGAATCTGTGCTTGACAAGATGCCTTGTCAAATGCTAGAAATGAAGTCATTGAGTTCTAAGCGTAATAAATCACCCTCAAAGCAGCGTATGTTTTACTATGTGCTTTGCGTAAGCATTCAACTTGGAGAGTCTTCACTGTAGCTGTGCCTGACATGGTCACCCCTCAAATTGGCAATGCGACATTGGTTGCCGTTTCATCATCAGATGGCCTGTTAAAAATCAACCCCCAACCAAACACTAAAAATGCCCTTTGACTCTTGCCTTGACTACGGCTCTCTTTAAGTTGCTCATTAAGAGAGACTCGATTCCATCAATAGTTTTATCGCATGCGAAAAACCACATTGACCGTTATGTGGACGTAGTTGCTCCGTTCTTCGCTTCTCGCTCTGCTTGCAAAACTTCCGCATCATGTTGAAGAGACCTAATTTCATTTCTCTCTCTCTCTCTCTCTCTCTGTCACTCTTTTGACTTGCTTACTCTTCTGCACTCTCTCACTCGCTCTCTCTCTCTCTCTCTCTCTCTCTCTCGTTCATCATTGATAGCGGCAATTGCAAAGCTTTCTCAATTTGAGCTCCTTACTTGGTTGCAATCAACTCGCTTTGCGCGTTGCTCTTGTTGCTGTTGTTGCTGTTGTTGTTCTCGTTGTTGTTGTTATTAGCCTCAAGTGGCAAGCACACATGCAGAGCAACAACAACAACAAGAAGAACAACAACGTTGTTGCTCCAGTAGCTGACTCACACCACGCTCCTCCCCCTCTCTCCTTCGCTCTCTTTCTCCCCCCTCGTCAGACCAGAGACACAGCGACGCAGCTGACGCTGGCCGGTCTCCGTTTTGCGTCCTGCTCCCCTTCCCTCTCTCTCTTGCTCTCTCTCGCTCGCTCGCTCTCTCTCTCTCTCTCTCTCACACTCTCTCCTTCACACACTCTCGCAGCAGTGCGTCTCTCTTGGTGTATTCCAATAAGAAAAACCATCGTCAGTGGCCGGCTCTTGTTTGGTCGGCCAGTTTGGCATCGCATTTAGTTGGGTTCACAACACACGAACAGAGAAACCGCAGCGGCGACTCTGAGAAAGTCGGCGAATCAAGAATCGAGCAACGAGAATCGAGCATTGAGAATCGAGAATTGAGAATTTAGAATGCGTTGTCAACATCATCATTTAACAGTCTAACGAGAAATAACTAAACTAAATAATAAACACGCGCAACGAGTTTTTAATTAATTTATAACATTTCACGAGTCCAATGAGAGTCATCAATTAATTTCATTTATTTAACAGCTCATTCAACTTAAATTCAATGCAAATTCAGTTAATCAAATTTGAAAATATCAAATTTCAAATAATCGTTAAAAATAATAAAAACAATCTTTGATATCATATTCATTTGTGAGTCTTTATTTATAATTGTGTGTGTGTGTGCGTGTTGTGTGTGTGTGAGCCACCTTGCCAAGCAGACTTCTGGCTAATGAGTAGACTAGGCTTTAGGAGGGGGCTGGGGGGAGTGTAAAACTACGCCGCTTGTTTCACGTGGTGCAATGTTGAAGAAAAACGTTCATATTCGTATCCTACTTAAGAACACTTGAGCCTTTTAAGCCGTTTAGACGGACACACTCCAAGGAATAGATGAAAGTGAAGCCTTTTTCAGGCCACTTTTTTCCCCAATGATTTGAGCGGTTGTTTTTAGCGCTAAGAACTGTGAATCATGCACAGTTTATGAATACAGTGAAGACTAACTAAGAACAAATTAGAGAAAGATGTAGATATAGATATAAACTTATATAAAATTTAAAAAATATGAAAGCTGCAACTCACATTTCTTTAAAATGTATTAAATTAAATAATGCAATTAGAAATCATTCTATAATTTCTTAGAAAAGATTGTTCTTAATATGCAAATGTATTTTTAATTTAAAGAATACAGCATTAAGGCCATGATTTATCGTTATTTTCACTATTATTTTTAGTAGTTTTTAATTTTTAAAAGAATTATTTTCAACCTAAGAAACTACTTCATAATTAAAAGAAACTTTATCAATATCAAATCAATAATTATGCAGTCTGATTAGTTCTTAAGAGAGAGTAATTATTTAATTATAATTACTATTAACAACTCTAATCGCAGAAATCACATACATAACTGTAAACCGCTGTTATTCTAACAGTTTTCTAGCCGCTAGTTGAGATCAGCCAAGCCAAAGCCTGCAACTAGCTGTCAGCTTAAGCAGCTAAGCACAAGCAGAGGAGAGCTTAAAGCTCGCTAACATTGCTCTTTCAAAGGACACACGTGCCGAGGCAAAAGTCTCTTGAGCTCACAGCTGACGAGAAGTTACAACTTACGCGCAGCAGCAGCAGCAGCAGAGCTTTCACACGCGCTCTTTCTCTCTCTCTCTCTCTCTCTCTATTCGTCTCTCTTGCTATGCACGTGGAGTATTAAGCTGCTCTCGCGCTCACTGCCTCTCTTTGAGTAGCCCGCTCTCTCTCCGTCTCTCTCGGTGTCGCTCGGTCGCTCTCGGAAGCGCAGCGCAGTGTTTCCATATAATTTTTGACACTTGTGACATTTTTGACACACAAATCAATTGTTACGTGAATTTTCAGCGCGTCGTGCAGCAGCAGCAGCAGCAGCAACAGCAGCAGCAGCGACGGGTAAAAAAGCGCTCAATGGAAAAACTATTAAAATTTCTAGCTATTTTTTCGTTATTTAATTTGTAAAAAACCAAAATAATTCGTTCAAATAATTGCTGCCGCTTGCAATTAAGTTGTATAATAAATTTCGGGTTTGAGAAACTGAGAAACGTTGCCTACTTTCGTGCGCTGCCCGTGTGTGACATAATTTCGGCGTGTGTGTGTGTGTGTGTGCGAGTGTGTGTGTATGAGTGTGAAAGTTACAAAAGTACCCAATTTGACAGTTCAACAATTATTTGTAATGTGGCGCAACTTTCAAGTTTTCGAGCTTGCCGTGTTTGACGAGCCTTTTGGTCTGGCCTCCTCCTCATTTTCCACATCTGCTGTTTGCTCAATGCACACACACACACACACACACATAAATAATACACACAGACACACACACACTCGCACACTTTTATACATATGCCCATTTCCACGCTTGGTGCAAATCGATTTCTGTTTCCGGCATTTTTCACGTGGTTGCTGCTGCCCCCCTTTTTCGGCTGTCCGCTCGTCCGTCCATCCCCTTCTGCCACAACCACAACCACCTCCCCCTCCCCTATACCCATACCCATACCCCCAGCCAAGACGTCTTTGCGTTCGTGCACTTTTGGCATTTGTTGTTGTTTTTCTTTTTCGTCAGCCTAACGATTTTTCCCCAAACAGAGAAAAACAGAATAACAAACATGTCAGGCGAGTGAGTAGAAAGCAGCGGGGAAAAGCGTTGGAAAAGTTGGAGAACATTTAGCGAACAAGTTTATCGAAATCACCGTTTGATTTCCGGCCTTTGGCCCAGTACTGTTTGGCTAAATCGTTTTGGCCAACAGTCACAGGCACATTCAGACATAGTTGCGGCCTTAATTCAGTCCGAGTCTGACTGCGGCCACGGTGGGTGCCACGTGTCGTATGCGTAATATTTTACAAAAAAAGAAGTTGCTTTTCCTTTTTCTTTTAGCAGTTGCCACAATTGAAGCCTTTTACTTTTTAGCAACAATTATTAAAGACTGTGTAAACGATATCAACAAAAGAATTAATCTAATAAATAATAAACATACACACAAAGAAATTCGCTAAGAATAACTCCAAATAAATATGTACTTAAAAATTAATTGATATTTAGTAAAGTGCAAAAAATAATAATTACAAAATAAATAAAGTGCTTATCAAAAGTGTTCAAAATTCTAAAATATTGTAATGCTTAAAAAAGAACTTAATTTATTAAATGAAATCAATTAAATATTAAGCAATCATATCGAATGAACAATAATTATACGTATAAATATCGCAAGCCAAAAATCCATTAATTGAAATCCAATTAAAACAAAACGAAAAAAAAACAAATAAAGCTACGAAATTCCAATAACGATTATCAAATGGTCGCTTGGATTGAATATAACAAAAAAGCGTAGCCGAAATACGAATGCAAATTAGATGCAAAATAAATGGGTAAAATGAGGTCAAGTAAATACGATGTAAGTATTCAAGAATTTCTATACATATTAATTGAAAAAACTAGAAAACATGCAAAAATACTTATTTTATGCATAGACTCATTTTTTTCATATTTAATAAACTGATTAAATGAAATTTATTTGGCAATAAATGTTGGGGATTTGCCTATTGCGTTTTCTATTCATACAAATTTATGTGTCTGGTATTGTGCTAAGAGATTAACATGTTTAAATACCTAACAAGTTAAGATAATAGATAAGAAACATGTTTAGATAATATTTACACATTTTTCAGACAAATATTTGCATATTCATGAGTAAGCAAAAGAAATCTGTCTACAGCCAAAATTAAAATTATGGCTTTGTTATGAATCACAGACTTTATAACAAGGTTTATCCCAATCAATTAACTCGCTTTTGCGTTTCGTTTTTTTTTTTTTCTTCAATTTATTTGTAATTTATATATACTTCACTTATATAAAGATATTTCTTTAAAAACATCTCTTCAATTTATTCAGTTCAATCTGCAATCAGTTATAAGCCTCAACGTTCTTTAAATTGGCAATCAATTTTATGCCTTTCAAGTTGTTTGCCAATCTTTCGCTGGGGCACAATTGAAGGTTATACAACGTGTCTAGGGGGCACAAGACTGACTGACTGGCTGACTAACTGACAGGCCCCAACCAAAGGGAGAGTGAGCCCCCAAAATCATTTACATAATCACTTAACTCATGGCCCACATTTCAAGTGATTATCCGAGGCAAAAAAAAAAATAACATGCAAGCAAAACTGAAAAGCCGTCAAGTGCACATAAATTAAAACAAAGATCGAAAAATGCAAAGGCAAGAAAAAAAAAGAAAGAGAGAAGAATATCGTGAAACTAACTGGCAGGTTGCCCTTAATCTTGAATTACAAATCGAGTGCAATTATCTGCTGTGGCTGCAATGAGCCTGGTTTTCCGCTTGTGCCCCCAGCCAGCTGTGGCAATTTGTTTTCACACTTTACGATTTGCATTCGGCTGCAATCAATGTTTTGTCGATAAGCGCCACAACACAGCGTCTAGGCCCTGGCCCAGTGTCAGAGTCAGAGTCAGACTCAGAGCCAAGAAGCAGCCGCATGTTGCGTGTTGGCCATCGTTTATCTGCGACTCGAGCAGGCTAATTCCTTTGGATTTGCGGCGCTACTGTGTGCGCCTTTAAATTTTGCATTTAATTGATTTGTCAACACAAATGTCTGTCGCGGTTTCCTGGCTCTATAAGCCGCTTACACAGCGCAGACAAGCGGCTTAAGATTTTTTCTTTATTTTTTTTTGTATTTGGCCCAAAGGCAACTTTGGCTAAACACACAAGTTATGCCTGCCTGCATAAATTGTCGTCTTTAGTTGGAAATCGAAAGTGCTGGAGTCAAAGGGGGATGGAGTGGAGGGGTGTATGGAGTCAAAAGGAAGTACGGTTGCTGTTGGTGGCATCATCAAAGGTCTGTGTTGCCAGCTGACAACTGCGAGTGCCACAATCATCAATCACAGAGCGCCTGCCTGCCTGCCTGCTTGCCTGCCTGGACTGCCAAGGCTGCCTGCTGCTGTTCAAGTTGCGCCTGCCACCAATTCACAAAAGGCAGCAGCACATTTGAAACACGTCCCGCTGCACAGGCTGCAACACAGCCAACTCAATCAGTGAATGCCACAAATGTTGCAAGCTCATTCTCTACGCCCGTGGGCGATCCTCATCTGTCCAGGCACAGAGGCACAGGTTCAGGCTCTGTCTTAGGTCCAACTTCAATCCAGGCTTCTGTGTGTGTGTGTGCGTGTGTGAGTGTGTGTGTGGGCGCCTGCTTGGAGTCTACGTGCATTGATTCTTGAGCAGTGCGTTAGAAATTGTTGCCAAAGAACAGAGTCGCACAGTGGTTAAATACATGCCATTCTGACATGATTTTATAAACATATAAAACTAATATTTTGACCAGCTCATTTGTGTTAAATTTCAAGATTTTAATGTTTTTTTTTGTTTATAATTTTATAGCCATTGCCATCTTTCAACTTTGACTTATCTTCAGTATTGATAGCTTGTTTTGAAATAATATTTCATTACTTTTGAACATCATTTAATCTATTGTTATTAACATATATACTATATGCAAATAATATTTAACAAACTACATGATTAAATTTATTTTTAACTTCACTTCTCTTATGTCTTGAACCACTGTGGCCACACACAACTTTGACACCTTATGCACAGCGACATTTTCAGCTTCTTGGTTTCTTGTGCTATTTTTTCTTTGGTTTTTTGGTAGCCTGAGGGCCCCGCCTGAAATTGGAATTATGTTGTCTGCTGTTTGCTGTCTGTCGTCTGTCGTCTGTTGTTTGGCAGTCTTGTCTCAGTAGCCGGAGCTTTGTCTTTTGGTGGCGCACGTGGGCAGCTCGTGTGGGTCTGGGCCTCTTTATTAATTGTGTGCGAATGTTTGCACAATTTGTCAATATTATCGCAATAAACATGATCATTTGTTAGGCACATGCCCCCAAACCAAGACAAAACCAAACCCGGCAGCCCAAAAGCCAAAAGCCAAACACAAACCAAACAAACCCAGCGAGCCAAAACAGTCGGCAGATATTTACATCTAAAAAAGCATTCCCCCCAAACACTGTTTGCCTAAGTGATTTGTGATTTATGAATTCACTCGAATTTGCATGCACATTGAATGGGAATAGGGAGGTGGAAGGTGGAAGGCGGATCGGGAGTGGAGCACCAAGTTTGTCTCTGTTGCTGCGCTGAGCAACTGTGGGGCTTGTCTATTTGCTAATTTTCTGGCATCACACGTCTCCAAATGCCTTACGACTTTATAATGCCCCTGTTAATTGGGTCAACCAATACCACTGAAGGTGATGAAGAGGGTAGTGGCCGAGGGAGGGGCAAGGGGAAGGTGTGGGGAAACGACGCACGTTTCAAATGTTTGATAAACGCGTTGTGGCATTGCCTCCTGACACAACTCATACATATTAATGCTGCTGAGTTTGCGGCTGCCACAGCCTGGCGGCAGTCAATTGGGTGTTGCACTGTACGGTGGCCAGCTGTCTCCCCAGGAGGCAGAGAATGTGGGGTGGGGGAGGGGCAAGTGGGGTTGGAGTTAACAAGCAGGCAACAAACAGCAGCAGCAGCAGCTGGCGAACATTGACAGTCAGCCTACGTCGCACAGAGAGAGAGAAAGAGAATCCCATTTTACATTAAATTTAATTATAGTTTTGGATTTAAGCAGAGTTGCTAGACTTTGTGGATGTATATGTTTTGTGGAGATTGAAAAATCCTTAAGGGATTGAGGATTTAGTTGTGTACAATTATGGCTTAAAACAATTAACTTTGTTGAGCAAGTTAATTGATATTTATGCGTTAAGCACACACTTTCAGCAAAAGGCAAAGGCGATTTTATATGGAACAGCAACTTGAATTTAATTGAATTCAAATCAGGCAATTTTTTCAAGATCAATTTTAGATTCGATGAGAGATAATTTTTGCAAGATTATTCCAGAGATCAAACTACAATTGATGAAAACATTGCTTTTGAAAATCAGTTGAGTTACGACGAAGTTATGGCAATTTAAATTCATTAAACTCAATTTCTAGAACACTTTAGAGAATTGAGTATATGATTATTTGTATTTATACTAGCAACAGTTCAGCACGGTTTTTTACATATCTGCACTTTATGTTATCCTCTTTGAAGTCCAAATTAAACGTGAATAAACAAACCACTTTATAAATGATCATTTTAAATGGCATCCGAGCAGGGACTTTGCCGCATGTGTTTAGCTAAACTTGAAACTCCTAGTGCAAAGTCGAACTGGCGCTGATAAAAATCAATAGACGACTCCATTAGCCAAACGAAAGACAATAACAACAATAACAACGAGAAAAACAACAACTTTGGGTCTGGTTTACCGCCAGCGATGATCGAAGCCAACTTTATAGAAAGCGAAAACCCGACAATTTTCGCAACTTTGTTGGCTGCTAAGCCGCGAAAGTAAATAATCCAATTATCGCACATACAAACAAACACACACACACACACACACATACATGTATAGCATAAATAAAATCATTTGATAAGAGACAAGAGACAAGAGAGCCCCAAGCGGGGCCAGTAGTGCAATCTTCCAGTTATTCAGTTGCTCGCCGCCAAATTGCATAAACATGTTCACCAGCAAAGCAGGCGGGTCAAGATGGAGGGGGAGCAGAAGGAAATAAGTCGACTAACTGAACGAGTGGCTGGCAGTCAGACAGATGGACAGACAGACAGACAGGCAGCCAGACATTTGAAATATGCTGCATTAATATGCCGATAAATTTTTGTGTGCGCCGAAGTCCAGAGAAACAACTCAATTAGATGACAGGCCGCATCGAGAGTTGCAAATTAAATGCTATGAAATATTTGCAAGACACCAACAGAGGCAGACAACAGAGGCAGAGACGCAATTGCAACTGCCACAGCAGCAGCAGCTACCCCCTAGCTAGCTCTCCCCCAGCTGCTCTCCCAGAGTGCAACACACACTTCACACACACACACACACACACACACACACACACATTGTGTCAATGTCAGCGACGGCTGCGTGCGTGTCAGCAATTTGACAGACATTCATCAGGCACATAAAGCGAATGCTTCTGCGCGACCAGCTAAACTGCCCATGCCCCCCCCCCCCCCCCCCCTCGTTTCCACATTTGTTGCAAGGCCTGTCAGTGTGCGCCTGTCGCCTGCTCAATCATTTTGGCGGATTTACAGTCCCCAAGCAGTTTGGAGTTGTCATTCATTGTTGTGACCGCCACACGGAGCAACTGTGTCTCTGTGCCTGTGTGCCTCTGTGCCTCTCTGCCTCTCTGCCTCTGTCTCTGTGTGTGCCTCGTGCGCATAATTGATTTTCTGCTGTTGCTTTTTTTTTTGTGTTGTGTTGTGTTGTGTTGTGCCTTGGCTCCTTTTGTTGTCATATTAATGTCAAAAGATTGCACTTGATCATGAATTGTGGAATTACT